GGGACCCCTCCTGCTCACTCCTGCTCTTCTCCCCGTAGACACCCCGCTGGGCAGTGCTGGGAAGAGCATCCTCCCTGAACCAAAGCGCAGCTCCCAGCACAGGTTGTGACTCACACTGGGAACAGGGATTTCCCTGGAGAATGGGGATGGGAAGTGCCCTGGATTCCCAGAAGGATGGACTTGGTTGGGTCCTTAGTTTTTCTGTGGTGTCCTCAGAAAACTGACTTGCATTTCCAGCATTACGTGACTCTTCACTTCAGTCACTCATACTCGCAGGGAAATTTGGGCTGAACAGCACTCATCTGGTGAATGAGCACCAGGAACACAGTCGGGTCCGGCGTTTCCCGGCCGTGGCAGGGAGGTGGTGTGGGCAGAGGCTGCTCCCGAGGACAGCAGTGAGTCGGTCCTCCTCCTACCAGCCCAGGATTCCCCGGCCAGGGAACCAAAACGCTGCCCAGCTTGCAAAAACATTTCTTGTCAACAGGACAGAGCCTGCAAGAGCTGTGACCATTTCCTTTTTCCTCTGATTCACCTTTCTCAAGGCACGTCCTACCTCCTTTCTCCCCACAGAGCCATCAGAGCTGTTTCTCAGTGGTTTCTTCACAGAGTTAAGGATTTCAGGAATAAATAGTTGGAGGGTGGTTTTTGGCTTGGAGGTCTGGATCCCCACCCTCTGCTGCTGAGACTCAGTGTGCTCCTCCCCAACGCCTTTCGGGCTGAAATGAGAAAGCCACAAACTGAGAAAAAAAAATAAAAAATAAAATGAGGTTTTTAAGGAAGAAAAGCTCAATCCTAAATGCTACCGAGTGCTCACTATAGCATTCAAAGGCATAGCTCTGTCTGTTGGGGATAGAAATGTTAACTATAGGTGTGTTCAAAAATGAGGCAATGGAGAGTTGGCTGCTTCTCTGTCAGCTCCATTGCAATAGGTTTGGAAAGAGCTTTATTGTGTATCTGGAGATCAAGAGCAGCTTCCCCTCAGTGCAACTGCAGAGCACAGCCTGTGAGCATTTTTGCTCTCAGTTTTAAAAAGAAAATACAAAACTGAAAACCAAAATGAGGTGAGCTCTACTTCAGTGACACATTTACTTTTTTGGGGTGTTCGTAGCTTTAAATATTTCTATGAGAATTAGAACTTACTGTGATTCATACTTTTTTTTTATTTTAGTGCAGCTTAGACTAATTCACACTAGAAGGATGCAAAGTTGCTATTAGGAGATCAGTTAAGGAACCCTGTTTAATTCCCAGTAGAAAAGTGACACTTAGAAAGGTATCATCTGTGAACATATAATACATCAGAAGGAAGAATATCCAAACTATCTGAGTAACTTTAAACCAAACTAAGGAGATTTAAAAATTTCTCCTTCAATATAAACTGACCCCTATTTGTCTGAATGTTGCTTTAGATTTCAAAAGAAGAGTCTTGAAAAAGTTGGAAAGAACGAACTTAGGTGATAAAACCTAATCAAGGAAATGCCTTTAATGTCAAAACAGGTATTTCCCAGCGTTTTATATAATTGGCTCCGTAGCAGTTTTGGTCCTAACCCTATTTGAAGAGGTATTGAAGTCAAGAAAGAAGTTGATTTCCTTTCCGACCTGGAAGAAACCTCTTGTCCCACCAGAGCAGGCAAATGTTCACATCCCATGTCCAGCAGCTGTGTGGGCACTGAAAGGATGGTCGGGGATTTTTTGCTTAGCCCGTGTTTATTTGCTTGCTCCTACTGATGAACACGGACAAAGAGGAGCCCAGGTAAAGCAGATACGGGCTGCTCTGCACAAGGTCACGCGTCTGCACTTAAAGGAGGTTATCAAACCTTTGGGCTCCATCCAGGTCTTGTGGAAATCACGGTAGGGTCCCCCTGGCTGGCACAGCAGGAACCTTACAGCCTCCTGGAGCCGTGGGACAGTGGTAAATACCATTTGTCATCACCGGTGTTCTCATCAGACTTCCCTCCCACTTTTAGAGAGGAAAAAAAAAAAGGGAAAATGAAGTCTTGCTGGTCTCACTGCTTCCTGCTGGAACCATTTTTATAAAGTATTCTTTTTTGACATCAGTAAAAGTTGGCATTTCTCCTTGTTGAAAACTACTGTGATACTGAAAGGTTTTTTCATGTTGGATAATGAGTATATATTTCACCCTTTACTCTCTTGACTCTTTAAATACCTTTTATTAGTATAATCTATCCTCTTTACCTTGCTTCTCACACACAGAGGAAAATACCCCATAGAGAGAAGGTTCATATGCATTTATTAGTTACTAGGAATTTTATTACTGCATTTCATACTGAGCTTTAAAGATTTTGATCATTAGAGAAGATGCTGGACACTTGCTTAGTGAGCAGCAAGCCTCCAAGAGAGCTCACTGGGCGAAAACATTGTAATTCAGCTGGTAGATATGCGAAGGAATTTAACCTGTTGTTAGTACAGTAAGGCCTTTAATGAGGATCTAGCATGAGAATAAATAAGGCTTAATGTTGCTGTATGCTCACCAGCCTGAGGTTTGGCCCCACCAAGGGAGAGAATGTGAGGTGCTTTGAGTTCAAATTGCATTTAAAACCCTTCACACAAAAGCAGTTGGGCACCCAACCAGCTGTCGGACACCCAACCTGCTGGGGGGCACCCAACCACACCTTCTGTGTCTGGAAGAACATAGGTTTTGTCCAGATTCATCTGAAATGACAGCCAGTGCTGCCCAGTACAAAGGGAGCCTTCATTAAAAGGGTTTATTCCCACTTGGTTTATCCTCATGATAGATGCAATGTTTTACATTTCATAAATTAGTCATTAACTTCCCTGAGCTCCCTCTCTCTTTTACGACTAGTTCAGACACCAGCTGGGAATGGTCCTTTCTCTGGCGTTTATTTGGAAATCACAGCTCGTGATCACACCGGTTACTAATAACTCAAACAGCAGGATTTTATGCGTCTTGTTTACATGGGGTTTTTTATACCATTGCTGTTCATTAGGCTTTATATACAATGATTAACACCTCCTCTCCTCAGCAATTAAGTAATTTATCAGGTGATAGACATTACTGTACAGGACCACCATGCACTGAAAAATTGGGCTCACTTCAACAGAAGCAAGTAGTTCTACGCTAATTATCACCAGTGATAGTTATGCATACTAATAAAAAGCTTTCTAGAAAGATAATGAGGCAAATTTTACTCTCAATAACACTAATGTAAACGCATAATCATTCTGGCACATCCCCAGAGTGGCTCTTCCAGGTACACACAGCCGTAGCTGGGCTATGGTTACCCCACAGAACAGATTTCTTGTCGTTGCCTGGACCCAGAAGAGCTGCCCTCGGCTGGTGTCAGGCTCAGGGACACAATCCCTCACCTGACACACGAGATCAGGGCTTTTTAGCTTAATGTGGCCCATTGTGCCTAACTTTTTTTTTTTTTTTTAAATAAATGTTCCATGTTTTCCACTTCTTTAGCCGATTAGAAACGGTAGAGGAGGAGGGACACTGCTGGGGTCAGAAACCTGCGCCAGGGACACACGCTGAACTCATCGCCATTTGGCTCCTAAATTGTGAGAAAGCCATCTATTGCGACAAATCGCTCCTAAAATGAGGTGTGGTGACATTTTCTTCATCATTTAGCTTGTCAATTAAAAAAAAAATGTTTCCACATGAATATCTTTTTCCCTTTTCTCTTTTTGACACTTAAAATTCCACTGAAATGGTGAAGGCACTCTCCTGCTCTGGAAATACTTTACAAAGCAATTCCCTGAGTGTCGCCACAGACTAAGGACCAAGAATCAGCGCAGACTTTCATTTTTATAGCATCGTTGATATAGTTCTTCACAAGATAAGACCAAGAAAAGAACCGGAATGATGGGTTGTAATGGAGAGTTAAGGGCAGGGGTATTATTTGAGAGGGAGTTTAGCCAAATCTGCTTATTTCAGCAGCCACCGTTGAGCAGCAGGTATGACTGTCCCCCGCAAATCTCTAGCCATGAGTCCCAGTGGCCATTTGCCCCTGCAGGACAAGAGGAACCCCACTGGTGACAATCCCTGCTCCCCTCCCTCTCCTCCTCCCCAGGGATGCGGGCTGTGACACATCGCTGGCTGCTGGACACTGGCCACTGTCATAAAAGCTAATTTGCAGGATGGTATGGGCTGCACTAATTTTCAAGGTGGCAAAACGCTAGCGCTTGACCTGAGCGTTGTTTCATCAGCAAACTGGGAAGGGAAGCCAGGAGTGAGTCATGTAAATTCTGCAGACGGCAGACAGCTCTCCAGGTGAGTCAAAGCCCCAGGAGTCTGGAGGGATGTCAGAGTAACACCAGAACCTGAAGCAAAGCAGCTCACTGGCAGCTGGAATTGTTTGTAGCCAAAAATAAGAAAAAAAAGAGATCAGGGCACTTACCTGGCCAGAAGGTACAATTTATACAAAGTGGAATAGTTTCATTAAGGGACTGAAGGAAACTTCCATGGCCTTTTCCCTTCCTCCTCCCCTCCCAGACCCGCAGCCTGCTCCTTAGGAAACCCTGCAAGAGTTACGGGTGGTTTCGTGCGGTTTCAGGCAGGTGAGAGATTAAAACCCAAGCCTCTGATACTTCACTGAGTACCCAAGCAGTACGCCCTCACATTTTGAGTTATGTTTTTATGCAAGAAAAGAAAGAATGTGTGGAGCAGCCACATTGTAAAGGTCTGTGGTGGCCACTGCAGCATCCTGGAGGGAGCCCGGACCACCAGGAGAGCTCTTGCTGAGCCCCTCAGGGGGCAGGAGCACAGGATTATCAAACTCTTGGATCCCCTCAGGGACACCAGCTCCTCGGGGAGAGCCTTAAAAACTGCTGGGGATAAATGACATCAGCACCATTTACTGGCTTTCTTCAAAGAAAGGTCTCTGTGTGAAGGAAATTATTTAAGAGGCAACTGAACTCTACCAGAGTCCTACTGAGTAAATATGAGGTTCCATTACACGTATTGGTGTGCACAGCTAATTGGGGATAATCACCAGAAGCGTACGACAGAACAAGCTCTCCCTTTTTTTCTGAAAAACATTTTATTAACATTACTTATGAATTCATATTTAGAAAATATTGTAGGTGAAATTAATTGAAATTCAGACATGGCTCAAATACAAAACATAAAAGGTGGTGCAATAATATCACCATAGGCATAATCTACCTAAGAAATACAATTGTGCCTCAAAAGAGGGATTACATGAGATTTGCAGAAGCTTCTGCTTTTCTGCTTTAACAGCCACCGCATCAACACAAATACCAAGATCCTCAGTAGATGTAATCAGTGTAGGTCCATTAAAAATCAATAAAAATGTGCTGACTTGTGCCATGTGAGGATCTGGAGTGTTAACTCAGCAGAAATTTCAAATGTCATGGAAAAGTACATGGCTACATTTTAATACCCAAGTAGCTTATTCATCGCCTTTGTCAGAGTGTTTATCAAAGTACCCCTGTTCCCAGCTGTCTCTTGTGGGACGAGCCAGATTTAAGTTTGTATTTCTTTCACTGTCATGAAAGCTTCCAAAAGCCTTGACCATGAACGTAACTGTAACGGACAGTGCCAAAGTGTGTGGAATGGCAGGGCAATAAACCTCTGAGCACATTTTTGAAAGGTTTCCTGTCTTCAGCAGGCAGAGGATGCCAAAAAAAAATACCCACGGAAGAGATTTAGCTTCGTACTCTCATTAGTTATACCACGAGACGATTGATTTTCCAAATCTTAATTGATTTGTAACAGCTGAAATATTCTCTCCAGGCAGGAGTAACATTCCCCCATAAAAACATGGACATCTAAATACCTGGCTTGGCCAAAGTATTGCTGCAAAGACAACAGAGCAGAAGAACCAGACTTAGGTTCATTCTTCTTCTATTAAATGCAGTTCTTTATAAAAAGTAAGTTGGAAATAAAAGGCAGTTGTGCAAGACAGAACTATGTTGGTGTATAAAACTGTGTGGAAACTATCCTACAAAAGAAGAAAGTGGGATCAAAAGAAGATGTTTCAAACATCCAAGTGTACATCAGCTTTAAGACTTCGGGTTATACGTCTGAGATTTCTTAATCAGTTTTCTCATCATCCTTCTGCGGAATGCACTCGTTGGCTTGTTGATTTTTGGTTTCTGAGTCCCTGCTAAGAAAACAAAGGAAGCCGTGAGGGAAACAGTACGACAAAGCTTTTACTACTCTATTGTTTGGGGTTTTCTTTTTCACGTTATGCTGTTTGAGCGATTGAGCCAGCAATAACAAACATCTCATGAAGTGCAAAATGTGTTCTGGACGCCCTGTTCTCACACTCCGCAGGGTCTCCAACGTGGCCACCTCTGGCACTGGAGTCCTGCTTGGCTGCTCTTTCCCTGAGCAAGCACCAAAGTCTTTTCCAGCCGTCCTGCAGTGACAGCAGAGTGGAACTGAACACACTGCACAAGCCACAAAAGAACCCCCCACAAACCTATTACTACATTTCTCTGAGCAACACTGGGGCAAAGCCCTGGATACACCCCGTGCCCGCAGGGATGAGAGGGTGGAATGGTGGGGTTCCTGCAAAGGACCATGTCTCACGCAGAAGCTGCTGAGGACAGCGGGGGTGATCTCCAGGAACGCTCACAAGGACCACGTGAAAGGTGTGAACACGTCAGAAAACAAGTACTTTACCAATCTGACTGAAAATCCTAGATCTTTATGCCACCTGTTTGCCCGCAGGCAGAGGCCCTGTGGCCAGTTCCCAGTCCTCTCGCTCAACATCACCCCAACGTATTTCTTTTCTTTTCCAACATGAGTTTTTGTAGTTAATTTTTTTTTTTAAATTAGATGAATCAGAAACTTTTTCACTCCAAAAGCTCTAGATCAGTTCAAACAGCAGCTGCATATTTGCACAGGGAAGGTCAGCTGAATCCAAGCCGAGACGCCAGAAGTCAAGAGGGAAGATGCCGGGGAGGGAATTACAGGGAGCGGGAGGGAAGGAGTGGCTTAAGTCACCCTAAAGATTTGCTTAATGTTGCTGTACACTCCCAAGCTATAGAAATTAATATGTGTAGCACAACAGCAATTAGCACTAATTATGCCCTTAACTATGGGCTTTGGCTGTACCAAGCCTTACAGAGTTGTGAAATCCACAAGTTACTGAAAAAGCTTCTAAGTGATGGTTTTTGCCCAGCTGCCCGGAGCTCTCCTCAGGAGACAGACTCTGCCAGGAGGGGAGTGGGGAGGGGGAGAGCGCTGGGTGGGCAGGGGCTCGGGCAGCTGCCTGGAGCTCTCCTCAGGAGACAGATGACCTTTCCTAACTTCTTCCTCCCAGGAGGGGAGTGGGGAGGGGGAGAGCCCTGGGTGGGCAGGGGCAGAGTTTGGGGGCGAGACACCCCAGAGGCTCCCTGGGGCTGGAGCCTGGCCCTGCTGCTTCCCCGGGAGTAATGGATGCAAATGAGATAATCACCACCAGCACCTTGATGGACTCAGCGCGCGATTACAGACTGGCTCGCGACACCAGAAGGGCAGAGACACCCTCAGAGGTGGCACCCCCAGCCATACCCCTGCCATGACTAACTGGCAGCAGCATCTCCACTTCTGAGCCCCGTGCTCGGGGCGGCCCCAGCCCTGGGTTTCCAGCCCAGGAATGAAGAACCGTTCCCTGACCTACACATTCCCACCCCACACCTGACATCCTGCAGCACTTGGGCCTGGTGGGTGGTTTAACACACAGCTATTTTTTGGCTTTTTTTTTTCCCCAATGTGCAAGCTAGATACAGCCTTAGCATCGCTTTTTAAAATACTGTCCTGTGACTGCTCCCTGAGTGCTCCGGGGGCTGGCATTAATTATGCTTTTCTCTCCCTTATTGATTTACATATCAGATGAATTAAACTGGAGTAGTAAAACCTGCAATAGCTGGTATGAACACAGGACTGCAGGTAAAAGTAGCCTAAAAGTAGCCTAAAAGTAGCCTACAACTGCTCTGAGCTACAAGCACAGCCAGTAGCTGATTTGAATAAAACCACTATGAAAAATCAATTCTCATTCCCAAGCCTCCCCCCCCGGGGCCACAGAAGCAGCTGACTCAGCACAACTGCTGAGACAGAAATCTTAAGGAATGGGAATGGGAAATGGGAACAGGCAATGGGGAACCAGGGGAGGATGGTAACGGCTGAAAATGGAAAGGAAAAAAGTAAATTGATTTCACAACTCACTTTAAACCTACTTAAAAATATCTAAAAGAAAATGATACATTAATTAGTGTTTGTGCTGGCACTGAACAGTTTAAAGACTGATTCCTCATGGGCTCTAGTGAGCTAATTAGTTATTTTGTGCGCCCTTCTCTACACTTCATCCAAAACCAGTGCCTGCCATCACACTGCTCTCGTCAGAAGGATCTCCCATTGGTCTCAGTTCTCCTGCTTTGGAAACCCCCAGTCCAAAGTGCAGGCAGCATTGCCCTGCAGCACGCCAGGGCGAGCGAGAGGACACCATGAGCACTTGTGACTCGGGTGCCTTTATCTGCTCATGAGCGACAGACCAGAGGGAATCCTACCTTTTCCGCAGACGTTGTAGCAGTCGGTTTCGGTAACGAAGTTGTTGTTGTTTCCCCCGCAGCCGGTGTACTTGAACTCCTTGCAGGATTTACTCGTGGAGTCGTAGTAATAACGAGGCACAGAAGAAGAGCACAGCCCCTCGTCCTTGGGGCTGTAGCACAGCGAGGGGCCAGCTAGGGAAAAAAGAAATAAAAAGGAGAGAAAGACAAATTACATAAATGTAATCTCTGTGCCTGGCGTCTTAAAATTTACCCTGCAATAAATGTTGTGGGTAAATGGCTCTTGTTGCCATTGGACTGACAGGAACTGTTACCAACGGCTTCAGAGACTTACTACCTCTTACTCGTGTGAGTTATGAATTTGAGAAAGCAACAGTCCCAGAAAATAGGATTACTGTCCCACAAGTGAAATTCATCCGCGTTCCCCATTTGAGGCACCGTGCACAAAACAAGAGATACTTAGTCTGGCCAAAAGTCTTATTCCACCTACACAGGAATATGGCAATAATTCCAGTGGCACTACCTCTGTAGGGAAAAAAGGCACTGTTTTATTTATCCTTGCTAGGATTTTGCCAGCAAATCCTGCCTGCTTGCAGCAAAAAGTTGACACCCCACCACTTACCTCACAAGAACCATGTTCCATTTTGCCTCAACAAAAGTTTACTATTCTCGCTGAAGACCTTTTACCAATTTATTGGATGTGCAACAGAGAAATTAAAAATGGTTCAGCATTCACCTAAGAAAATGCTGACAACCTGCCACCAGCCAAAAATAACTGTCTTATCAAGCACTCATAAGGCTTAGGCAGTGACAGCTTTTAGTCATTCTGGGAGATCTCTCTTCTTCCAAGATGCTATCTCGCACTGGGTATTAACCTGGTGTTTGTGACAACACTCTGGCACAGTCACCTGCCTGTAATTACAACCTCTCCTCTTCAGAGCTCACACAGAGACACGTCAGGCAAGAAAACTTTTACCAGCTGAGTTGGCAAGTGCGAAAAACCCAGGGCACCTCGTGCCACCTCTCAGCCCTGAATTTTAGACAGCCCCTTCTGCTCCTTCAGAGGACATCGCTGCCTGGAGGTGACTGCCACCCGCTCCCACGTCTGCCTCCAGCCGTACGTCCCGTCAGAGCACAGGGCACAGCCCTCTGAAGTCAGGACATCAGCAGAGCATTGCTGTGGGCACAGTTAGGGTCACAGTGTTAAACCAGCACAGCATCCTGCTCCTCCATAGCACCTGAGACGAGGGACAGTGAAAGGCTGTCGACAACGTAACGATCTGCTTCCCAGAAGTCTTCAGAAATACCACTGCGGGTAATCCACAGGAAAATATCAAACAAAGTATCATCTTCGTATCGCTTTCAAACCATCTATTTTATTAAAAAGTTGGAACAACCATTACTTTTCTCCGGGAGACAGTGGTCCACGCACGACTGCAGGTCCCTGAAGTTGTTGCCGTTTCCGTAGCAGCCGCCGTAGATGAACTCCTCACACCTCAGCGAGCTCAAGTTGAAGGCGTATCTTTTGAGGTGACTCCTGCAGGGTCCCCCATCGGCCTCCATCCGGCACAGCTTGGGCACCTCTGCAACACAAACAGGGCCCTCCCCGTGAGACCAGCCCTCGGTGCTCCCCGTGCCCCGTCACCCCAACCACAGGCGAGTCCCAGCTTGTCCCACCGCCTGCAGGGTTTCATGGGGCGGGAGAAGCTTTCCCGGAGGAATCGGATGCATTAATCGGCAACTCGTTACCATGTTAAACTGCATTCAAAACATTACTACTCAAACGCCCCATGTCGCCTCCGAGACAACTCGCTGGGGTTTCTCTGCATGAAATCCCACCGGGGAGCCGGCGGCTCCGAGCCGGGGGTCAGACGGGGCGGGAAGGACCTTCCCCCCGAGCAGCGCAGCCCCCCCGGTGCTCCCTCCAGCCCCCTGCCAGCCCCGGGGGAGCGGGGGGGCCGGTCGCCGCCACTCACTTTTGATGGTCCAGCAGTTCTTCTCGCAGTCGTCGAAGGTGAGGAAGTTGTTGGCGTTGCCGTGGCAGCCCCCGTAGAAGAACTCCTTGCAGCTCTGCGTGTAGCGGTCGTAGTACCAGCGCGGCAACATGGCGCGGCACGGCCCGTCGTCGGGGGGCAGCAGGCAGGAGCGCTGCTTCTCTGCGGGAGACACCGGCCACCGGGGCTGAAGCCACCTCGGGGAAGGAGGCGACCCCGGCCCCGCCGAGCCGCCCGCGGGGTCCCTACCTGTCAGGCCGCGGGGGGCCAGGGCGGCGCAGGCCAGCGGCAGCAGCAGGGCGGGCAAGGGCAGACGGCGGCCGGCGGCCATGGCGCGGATGGCGGGAGGACGGGCGAGCGACGGCGGGGTCCCGGGAGCCAGCGGCGCCGCCCGGCCCGACGGCAGCGCTTTATATGCAGGGAGACGGCTTCCCCGGGCGCCTCCCTCCTTGCGCATGT